TGAAAGAAGGGAAAACTACTACTGACCTTATAGAAATAAGGACTGTGAACACCTGTATGTGAAATTACATAACCCAGATGAAATTTACAATTCCTAAAAAGAAGCAAAGTATTGAAGCTGACTCAAAAAGAAAGAATATCTGTATACAGGTAAAACAAGAGGGTGAATTAATAATCAAAGCATTTCCAACACAGAAAAGCCCAGGTCCAGATGGTCTCACTGATAAATTTTACCAAATAATGATAATAGAATTAGCACCACAAACTCTTTTTTTTTTTAAAGAAGGGAACACTTCCTAAATCATTCTATGAAACCAGTATTATCCTGATACCCCAACAAAGAAAGACATCATAAGAAAGAAAGCTACACATTAATATTCCTTCTAAACATAAACCCATAAATCCTGAACATAATATTAGCAAGCCACATCCAGCAAAAAGGAGTGTACATCATGACCAAGCAATTTATCCCAGGAATGCAAGTTTGGTCTAATATCTGAAAGTCAATTAAGGTAATAACATATCAGTAGAATAAAAAATAACCACTGCATTCTCAAATCAACAGATGTTGGCATAAGGATAGACAATGGAGTAGAATGAAGAGTTTAGAAATTAACCTTTTTGACAAGGTTACCAAGAAAACTCAAGAGAAGAAAGAATAGTCTTTTCAATAAACAGTGCTGGGACAACTGGATATCAACATGCAAAAGAAAGAAGTTGGATCCTACCTCACACCATACACAAAAATTAACCAAAATAGTTAACAAATCTAAATGTAAAAGCTAAAACTATAAAATACTTAGACAAAAACACATCTTTATCACTTTGGTTTAGGCAATGGTTTCTTAGATAGGACACCAAAAGCACAATCAACAAAGGAAAAAATAAACTTAACTTCATCAAAATCTCAAACTTTAGTGCTTTAAGGGACACCATCAAAGAAGTGAAAAGACAACCCACAGGAGAAAAGATTTATAAATCACATATCCAATAAGATACTCGTACCCAGAATGACTTGTATCCAGAATATATAAGGAACAGTTACCACTCAGTAATAAAATGGCAACCCAATTAGAAATGGGTAAAGGGTCTGAACGGATATTTTCCCAAAAAAAGATGTAGAAATGGCTGACAAGCACATGTGAAGATCTTCAACATCATTAGTCATTAGGACAATGCAAATCGAAAGCACAATGAGGGGCCACTTCACACCTACTGGATGGTCATAATCAAAATAAAAGCCAGTGACAAGTGTTGGTGAGGCTGCCGAGAAATTAGAACCTTCGTATGTTGCTGATGGGACTGTAATACGGTGCAGCTGCTTTGGAAACCAGTTTTGCAGTTCCTCGAAAAGTTAAACATAAAGTGGTCGTATAACCCAGTTAATTCCACTTCTGGGTGAACACCTAAGAGAAATGGTAATATATATCCACACAAATACTGTACATGCATGTTCGTAGCAGTGTCATTTATGAGAGCCCCAAAGTGGAAACAACAACAGCCCCAAAGAGTTCGCCAACTAATGACTGAATAAACATAATGTGGTGTGTACATACAGTGGAGTATTTTCAGCCATAAAAAGGATGAGGTATGGATGCATACTACACATGGATGAACGCTGAAAACATTACAGTGAATGAAAAAAGCCAGACATAAAACGTTACATATCATATAAACCTATTTATACAAAATGTGTAAAATAGGCAAATTCAGAGACAGACAGTAGATTAGTGGTTGCTAGAGGTTGGCAGGAAGGGCAAGTGGGAGAGACTGCTAATGAGTACGGGGCTTCTTTTGGGGCTGATGAAAATATTCGAGAATTAAATAGTGGCCAGGGCTGTACAACTCTGTGAATACACTAAGACCACTGAACTGTACAGTTTAAAGGGTGACTACTATGGTGTGTAAATTACGTATTTAAAAACAAAAAAGACAAAAAAATGCACAAAAATCACAAAGGTGTCTTTTTCTTCAGCTCTGACACTGGGGCTCCAAACCCAGAATCCATTCAAACGTTATGAAACTGAGCCCCCAAAATGCATCCTAAACACAACTTTTCCAGGTACCAGCAGGACTGGGGAACTGTTCTCGTATGTGACAGACAAGATGAGGTCTTTTTCTTATACGCGGAGCCTTTATTCTGCATCTGCTGGAGGTCATGGGGCAAGGGAAGGAGGACCTGTCCCAGGCCAGGACTTAGCTCCTTCCCTGGCTCCCTTCACCAGGACACTCCTCCTCACGTTCACTTTCCAACACTAGCTCATCCCTGGGGGACACTGGATACAATCAAAACCGTCAGTTCTGTTGAGTTTTACGGGAAATTCAACACCAATTTTCCTGTCCACACATGCCAACGCGTTCACATACGTACAGCCCGCGTGAGAGGTCACACACTCTCCCTGAACTTGGGAGTACAGCACAGGGGACAGGCCGGGATAAACTGCTGGTCTTCTGAGGAGGGTGGTTTGACAGTCGCATGCCACGCACACGCTCCCACAAGGACCAGAGGGAGAAAAAGTGCCTTTTCCTGGTGCGTGCCAGCACCTAAGAGAGCCACCGACCACTACACCCACCACGGCGCTCCCGCCATCCGAATACCTTTCCACCAAGTCGGCTGGGGGCTGACACTTCCTGTCACGTACGGCACGTCACACATTTCTTGTATTTTTTAAAGCGCTCAAATTTGGGCCACGTGTGAGCAAGTTCTGAGCTGCATGAAAAGTGTGTTTCCAGAAAGTGTTAACAGACAACTCAAGAGAACTGTGACTCAATCCAAGAGAGGCTGTGAGGGGTTTGAACTTCTCTGGCCAACCCGCTCTTGGCTTTCTGTAAAGGGCACAAAGGTTTCATTCAGCTTGGCTCGGAGGCTGGAAGTGAAAGTGATCTGACTATTTTTGAAAAGGTCAGGAGAGAGCACTTGCCCATCTTCAAATTCCTCTGAACCCTCTGCCAGCAGACATCACCGAGACGGGAGTCCAGCCCCGGGCCGTCACTGGATGCCACAGTGATGCCGTTATTTCCCTCATCGGCAGTGTTCGATCCCACTCTGTGAAATGGGTTCACCGTGTTTGATGAACCTGCACACGGGGGGCTTCCGGGCCGCGCCTCAGCAGTGAGGTGGGGGCCGCGGCCGTGCGGGGAGCCTGCCCTGCTCCTGGGCTGGCCACGCAGGCTCGCAGCCTTGGCCAGAGTCCCCCAGCACCTCCTCTGCCAGCCAGGGGAGAGCCAACAGGGCACAAGAGAGGGGCTGCCTTTCTCAGGGATCTGTCCCTCCCCAGCCCTCAAAACTAGCACTGTGAACAGGGCATTTGGGCAGGATGATCCCTTTTCCTGAAATGCTACAGGATCTACTGCTCGAGGGCCAGAGTAGTTCTCAGCCTCGGGTCGGCCTTAGGCGGATACTGTTTCCTGTGCCTCTTCTGACCCGGCCCACCAGTGAGCAGCACTGGCAGCCGCGTACCTCACATCTCGGCCCACGTCAGAGTGGAAGGGGCACCATCTGGGGGTCTCTGGGGACAGAGAACGGCTGAGTTAGAGAGCTGTCCTCTGCCCCACCTTGCCTTGCCCACGGTCCTGCCCTGACTGCCCACCTTCTGCTTCGGCCTCCCCAGCTTCCCCCACCGACGACAGTCCTCAGGTCAGTGTGTGGACAGTGCAGAACAGCCCGGGGAGGTGTTACTGGGGCCAGGGGCAGGCGTGGCTGCCCTGGCCTGGGACGGCCTATAAGGCCCCAGTACCAGACTGCAGTTCTAACTTAAGACAGCTAGCGACCACCTCTCCCCCACTTCTCTTTCCCTGGGTGAAAGCCAGGCTTCTACATGCACTCCTGAACCCCATTCCCTGTCCTAGCTTCTGAACTTCTGAACCCCTCCCTAGTCTCTTCTGAAAAATGCAGCAAACAAAACACCACCACATCTGTGGAAGACAGTTCTGCCCACAAAGCCCTTCTGCACAGACTCGTCCAATCTGTCTTTGCAACTGGTCAGGAGCAGCAACCAGATTCTTTCACAGATGAACAAACAGGCTCAGAGACATGAGATGCTCTGCCTGAGGTTGGTCTCACCACTGGTTTCAGAAGAAATTTGGTCAAAGAGCTCCCGTGTGCTATCCAGCAAAGCAGAGTGAACCTCTGACCAAATTGGAACTCAATGCAAGACTCTGGGTGAGTCTGACCAGTGCAGAAGAGAGCAAGACGCTCACGACACTGTCCCCAAAGTACGGGGTGCTCTTGACCCCCACAGGGTCTGATGATTATCACTACAGACCTCAAACTCACACTCCGGTAGCTGGGTAGAGGGAGGTGATGCATCACTCACAGCTGCCAAGGCTGGCCCCATGTACCCCAGGGAGCAGTGATGAAACCTCAGGGGCTCCGAACAGAACACCTGCCCCCAAACCAGCCTTCCAGTTTCTTGGCCTATCAGCTGAGAACCCCATTCCCTAAGGTGTCCGGGTATTGGATGTGGACGCAGCACGGAGCTGGCAGACAGCCTGCTGTCCTCAGACCAAAGTTTGATATGCACGCTCTCGGTAACCCCCAAGTCATGAGAGAACCATTGAACCAATCAGGGCAGAGGCTTGTGCGCGAGCACACACACTCACGCACGCACGCATGCATGGACCAGCTGTCTGCGGGCTGACCAGTACGGCCAGGTCAGCGGCTCCAGGGACGGCTCCCGGCCCCACTGCCCTCCTGCCACCACTCTGTGCTCCCGATTCCGCTCCCTGAGTCACCAGCGCCTCTCCCCTTGGGTGCTCCCAAGACTCCACACAACAGCACGTGGAAACAGCTGGAGATGTTTGGGGCCTCACATATGGTGCCCGAGTTCTCTTATCCATGTTCGTATCTTCTGGGATCTTGGCCATGTCCCCTTGCACCGAAACAGACGCGGAATACAGTGTTTCCTGTACTTTACAGAGGGACTGACACGCTGGTGGCTCTGAGCTCAGTCTGCTGCCCCCAGGGAAGAGTCAGCTCACTGAGGACAGCTGTCCTCCTACCTTGCCTCCCGAGGCTCGCGCTGCGTGGACGGGGGCCACGAGGGCTGGCCCTGACCACCTGAGGTACGTGTCTCGGCATCCTCGATTCTCCCCGTCAGGCACCCTGCTCTCACACTGCCTTCAGAATTCATCTGAAAAACAAAGGCCGCACACCAAGGGCCTGAGGATTGAGAGCCACCCCTCTAAGGGGTGGCTAGATTCTGGAAGGCTCCCGAAGAGAAGGACTCTGGTAAGTCCAAAGGATGGTATTGGAGATGGCGGGATTTTAGCACCTGAGACCCACAGGTATTTTGAGCAGAGGGTTCAATCCCTAACACCCCAAGCACCCCCAGACGCAATCTGCAGCCTGTGCCACCTATGAAGAAAAGTGGCTCTCCAATAACTGCAAAATTCTGTATTTCTTCTTTTGCGACAAATGTACAATTATTCTTTAATGTAAGAAAATAATTTCATTGCTGTTTTGATAAGGCCCAATAATGCTGACACAGACGTTAATATTTAACTTGGTGGGCAGACGAAGAAATAGCAGCATGATTAAATATTAAAGACCATCTGTCTGCCAGGATTTTTGGACCCCAGATCAGAGCAGTTACAGGACCTATCACCAGAAGAGAGAGTTGTGGTCAAGTGAGGGAAAGGGTCAACGGCCAGGCCAGCCAGGGACAAGCCTGCACCAAACACAAGCATTTCCTGTTGAGCACATCATCCGCTGAGTGACACCCCACTGTTCCAGTCCACCTACAGAGAGTTCTCTTCAAGGTGTGGCCAGGAAAGTGACACTCAGTGACAAGCTGTTTTTGACAACTAGAAGGGAGGGGGGGAAGGACTAAGGAAAACCATCTATTTTTTATTGAACACAACGTAAATTGAAATGAGTCAAGAAAATCTGAGTCTTCTTTGGGCCACCATCACAGCCCTTCTCGTCCCAGAGATTCTGTGACGTGGCCTCTTCTTCTTTGAGAGAGAAGTGATAAATTAACTGGCACTCCCATACTGTGGGCCAGGGGGATCGCCTGCTCTGAGATGATGTGAAATGCTTTTCCCCTGAATTGGAACTGTGCTTGGTTAAGCGTCCTTCCTCCGGGTCTTCTGCAACGTAATCGGGATGCATGCGGATCGCCACCGTGTTGCCAGCTTGCATCAGCTGGCCATGGCTTCGGTGTAAGGACGCTCGAATGCACAGTGTGCTGGAGGGCAACATGAGTAGCTGCTCAGCCATGGGGGCAGTCCTCTCCCCGAAGAGCGACCTGACCCGGGCCCAGCATCAGGACCACGCCCGGCAAGGCCGCTTTGCTGAAGGGAAGACTCTGGGAAAGGGAGACATCTACACACTTTCCCTTGCTCTAATACAGAAGTCCGTAATCTCTGAAGTCACAACAGGAAGATGTCTTTGCTTTCGGACACACTCCAGTGACTTAATCAGAACTTGCAGGACATTCAATGGTACTCCATCAGCAACAGACTATGCGTCCGTGAGGAGAGGCCAGTCATCCAGCACTCTTAGTATTTTCCCCATTAACATAATTATTTCCTGTGCAGTGAAAAGGAAGTGGCATTTGAATGTGTCGCAGGCAGAACAAGATGGCCCTGAAATCTTTAAAGGACTATGAAGACAAGGGCCAGCACTTTACTTGCAATTCATCCTGCATGAAATGAATGGCACAAGTTTATCAGAAGACAAAGCATGCATCTCCCCAAGATGGAATCAGCAGATGAACGTGGGCTTTAGTGAGCCCCTTCCCCAGGAAGCCACTCAGCTGGGCCCTGGCCCTAAGTCTGTAGGATCTGCCTCACAGGTGATGACAATGACCGCCCCCGGCATGGTGGGCATCAGCAGACGGCGACTCCATGCTTGCCTCTTTCAAGGTGTTTCAAACTGAGATTGAGAGCTCAATTTCCCCAAAGTAAAAAAAAAAAAAGTTTCGGTGATTTCCAAGAGCAAGGAAGCTGCAGTGCTGAATGTGGGAATGCACGGAACAGGCAGTCATCCCCATGCCGAATGTCACTTCCCTGCAACAAAGCACAGCCGTGCTGTTCGGAGGGCAGTGGGCACCCCCGCAGTCCACAAGTAAGGAGGTGCAGATCCCAGAAAAGCGGGTCTTCCCCAGAGCTGACTCAGCCCTGGACACAGCCTCAGAAGGCAGTCTGGTTTGACGAAATACAAAATGAAGCGAGCCTGAATCTGGAAACCTGTAAAGGTCTCTCCACGCTGCACACTGAATCCCACAGCTGAGTCCCACATACTTCCTATCTGTCCCCTCCCCAGGCGAGGCTATCAACTCAGACGTGCCCCCGAGCCCCTCTGTTTCTAGTCACTTTGCCTGGCCCGGGGTTAGAAGAGGGAGAGAGGGGGGCTGTGTTCACCTCCGTTCCTTACTAAAACCAGGTGCAAATGCTGGGGGCAGGAAGCAGAGCAGGCTGCACCTCACTTCGAATCCATGACCCCAAGCTGTTTCGACAGCCCAACCCTGGCAGCACCAGCTTCTTCAGGACTTAGACCAATGGCCAGGCAACGTGCTGGGCGATCTTACAGGTACACCCGCTCTAGGCCTCCTGTTGGCCTCCCGAGGCTGTGGGTCCCAGTCTGAGCAGGCTCATTTCCCCCCATCCACACTGTATTCTAAGACTACCGAGGTCATCTGACAGAATCAACACGGAAAGATGGCTTCTTCTAAAATCCAACATGCAATGATTTATTCGGTTCAAGAGAATGGGGTAAGAGAAAAGTTTCCAAGTTTTCTTTTCACCAATTTTATTTATATTTGGTAATTTTCGCTCAGAGAATCTATCAATTCCTTTTTCAGTCTGAGATGTATGTATGGGTGGGATGTATAGTATAATCCCTTAGAAACTTTATTTGGTATAACTTCACATTTTTGGTATATAGAAATAATTTTATTTCGTATTGCAGCACAGTAGACATACAATCAATATTATTTCCTAGAATGTGTAATATATAAATTATTCACATTAAAAAATTAAGAACAGAAAGCCTCATATGCAGGAAATTTTTAAAAATGTGTACCTAATTTTGAATCTGTTTTTGACTATACACTACTAGCTTTATACATCCGAATGAATATGACAAGATGCACATTTGAACAAAGTACACAGATGGGTCCACTCCAGATGCTTAATTCACTATGCAGAGAACTTGCTCTTCACTTTGGTCATTGGGATTCCAGGTGCTGAGGCATATGTGGATCTGAAAGATACTTCCAGAGGTACATTTATTACACTGGCATTTGAAAGATTTCTGTGTCTTCTATTCTCCTTTATAGCGAGGGGACCTTTTCTCTTTAAAAGCAAGAAGACCTTCAAGCCTGTCTTTTGTTGGAATAGTCTAGAGAAACAAAACATTATGTTACCTATACCAAAAAGTAAAAACAACTATAAAAGTTTAACAAGCTTTATGTAAAAAAACAACAAAAAAACTAACTAGAAGGCAATCTAAAATTTTGAAATCTACTCATCATTTGAACAATTCTACTTATGTGACTAAATTTACATTCTAATTCCAAATACACTTCCTCCCATTTCAAATGTACTTTAAAAAACCAACAGACTGTATTTTTTAGACAATTTTACGTTTACAAAAAATTGAGCAGGAAGTTCAGAGTTCCCACAGATTGCCTCAAGCCCCCAAGGTTCCCCCATTATTAACATCTTGCATCAATGAAGTACACTTGCTACAACTGATGAACCAATATCGATACATTATTATTAACTAGAGCCTATAGCTCACACAGGGCTCACTATGTTGTCGAACCATGGATTCTGACAAAGGCGTGATGCCATGTATCCAACAGTATCCACAGAATGGCTTCCCTGCCCTAAGCATCCTTTACGTCCCATCTACGCATCCCTGGCCCCTACTGCCTTTTCCAGAATGTCACATAATTGGAATCCTACAGTACATAACCTTTTTAGATGGAAATCCTTCACTTAGTATGCACCTGAGGTTCTTTCATGCCTTTTTGTGGCAGGATGGCTCATTTCCTTTTGTCGCTGAATAATACTCCACTGTACGGATGTGCCTTAGTTTATCCATTCAATCTATACATCTTGGTTGCTTCAAAGTTTGGAAGTTATGAACTAAGCTGCTAAAATACCATGTGCAGACTTTTGTGTAGATATAAGTTTTCAACACACTTGGGTAAACACATAGACGGACAATTGCTGGATCATGTGCTGAGATTATGCTTAGCTTTGTAGGAAATGGGCAAATTGGTATCTTGTTTGTATTTGCATTTCTTAATGACAGATGATGTGGAGCATCTTTTTCTATGCTTACTTGCCATCTGTGTATCTACTCTGGTGAGGCGTCTGTTCAAATCTTCCACCCACTCTTTAATGGGTTGTTTTCTTATTATTGAGTTTTAAAAGTCCCTTGTCTGTTTTAGATACAAGTCCTTTATCAGTTGTGTACTGCAAAGACCCGTTCCCAGCCTGTGGCTTCTCTTTTCAGCCTCTTCACAATGTCTTTCGCAGAGTAGAAGCTGTTAATTTTAATGAAGTGAAACATCACTTTTTTTCTTTCATAGATTATACTTTTGGTGTTGTATCTTAAAGAAGTCATTGCCAAACCCAAGAACACCTACATTTTCTATGTGATCTTCCAGCTGTTTCAGAGGTTTTCATTTTACATTAGGTCTATGGCCCAGTATGAATTAATTTTTGTGAAGGGTGTAGTGTCAGTGTCTAAGGTCACTTTTTTGTTGCCAAATGCCCAGATGCTTCAGTACTACTTGTTTTGAAGACTATCTTTTCTCCACCAAATTGCCTTTGCTCCTTTGTCAAAGGCCATTTTATTTTCTATGAGTCTACCTATATGACTATTTTATACGAATCTACTTCTGGGCTCCCTATTCTGTTCCACTGATCCAACTGTCTGTTCCTTTGTCAACTCCACACTGTCTTGATTACTGTAGCTTTACAGTAAGTCTTGGAGTTGGGTAGTGTCAGTGCCACAACTTTGTTCTTCTGAGTAACTGGACTGGCTAAGTCTTTGGACTTTCCATATGAACTTCAGAATTGGTTTGTCGACACAGATCAAGTAACATGCTGAGATTTTTACTGGGATTGTACTGACTCTCTAAGTAAAACTGAGAAGAAGTGACTTCTTAGTAATAGTGAGTCTTACTATCCATGAACATGGTATATCTGTCCATTTACTTAGATCTCGATTTCTTTCAACAGTTTTGTAGTTTCTCTCCAATAAATCTTATACATTTTTTTTTAGATTTCTACTTAAGCATTTGTATTTTTTGTACTAATGAAAATCATGTTATGCTTTTAATCTCAAATTCCAATTCTTCATTGCTGCAATACAGGGAAGCAACTGACTTTTGTTTATTAACCTTGTATCATGCAACCTTGCTCTAACTGCTTCTTAGTGTTTTTTTGTTCTTGATTCTTTGAGATTTTCTACATGGACAATTACATCTTCTATGAAGTTTTATTTCTTCCTTCCCAATCTGTATATCTTTCTCTCTTTTTCTTGTCTTATTACGTTAGCTAAGATTTCTAGATGTTGAAAAGGAGTTGTGAGAGAGGATGTCCTTGCCCTGTTCTCGGCCATTAAGTATGATGCTAGCTGTAGGTTCTTTTATAGAAGTTCCTATCAGGTAAGGAATCTCCCATCATAATTTGCTGAGTTTTTCTTATGAATGGGTGTTGGATTTTGTCAAATGCTTTTTTTGGATCTATTGATATGATCTGATTTTCCTGTTTAACCTGTTGGTGTGACGGATTACAGTGCTTTCTGAGTGTCAAACCTGGCTTGCATATCTACAAAAAAATCCATTTGGTTCTTTTTATACATTGTATACATACATTTAGACAAATCAATCTGAAATTGTTTTTAAACATTCTTTTTACACATTGTTGGATTTGACTTGCTAATATTTTGCTGAGAAATTTTACATCTACTAATTTATGACAGATAATGGTCTGTGGTTTTCCTTTTTTATAATGTTGGGTTTTGGTATCAGGATACTACCGACCCAGAATGAGTTAGGAAGGGTTCCTTCTGCTTCTATATTCTGGAAAAGATGACTAAAAATGGATATGATTTCTTCCTTAAATGTTTGGTGGAATTCACCAGAGAAACCATCTGGGCCTGGTGCTTCCTATTTTGGAAGTTTATTAATTATTGATTTAATTTCTTTAACAAACGTAGGGTTATTCAGATTATCTATTTGACCTTGTATGAGTTTTGGTATGTTGTGCCTTCCAAGGAATTGGTCCATTCCACCTAGGTTATCAAATCTGTAGACAGAGTTGTTCACAGTATCCCTTTATCATTCTCTCAATGTCCATGGGATCATTAGGGATGGCCTTTCTTGCATTTCTGATATTGGTGATTTTTATCTTCACTTTTCCATGGTTAGCCTGCCTTGAAGTCTGTCAACTTCATAGATCTTTCCAAAGAGCCATTTTTTTGTTTTGTTTTGTTGACTTTTTCCTTGTGTTTTTCTATTTCCAATTTCATTGGTTTCTGTCCTAAACCTTATTTTTCCTTTTCTTCTGCTGACTTTGAGTCCTATTTGCTCTCCTTTTTCTACTTTCCTGAAGTGGAAACTTACTACTGATTTCAGATCTTTCTTCTCTCATATATGCATTCAATGCTAAAATGCTGTTCTCTCTAAGCAGCACTTTCAATAAATTCCTACAAATTTTGATAGTTGTATTTTCATTTTTATTTAATTCAAAATATTTGATTCCTATTAAGACTTCTTCTTTGACTCATGTGTTGTTTAAGCTGCATTAAAAAGATTAATCCCACCATTAATAGGTGGGATTTCCCAGCTACCTTTCTGTTGTGATTTCTAGTTTAATTCCATTGTGGTCTGACAAAATGCTTCTTATGATTACTGTTCCTTCACATTTCATAAGATATGATTTGTGGCCAAACATACTTTTTAAATTTTTCTTTGGACTCTAAGGCTGTCCATTTTTAAGAAGTGTGTAATTTACTTCATTCATGGCATGGCTCATCAACGACAGGTGGCAATTCATACATACAAACCAGGCACAGAGGAACACTCTAGCTGTCCCTCCTAATGCAGGACACTGCCATGCTTTATGGGAGCTGAAGTAGTTTTCAATTCTCACAAAAGGTAGAACAAAATTCTTTTGCTACACTGGATGCCCTGAACAAAGTTACATCTTTTAGAAAATAAGGAAGGAAAGAAAAAAGGGAGATTTATTCCTCTATACAAAGTCCTACTAATTTGTGTGCAAAAGAGAAAACTACACACTGAATTAGGGAACTTTCAGTGGGCGGGAGGGAAGTCTCAGAACCAATGAGTCTCAAATACTGATGCTCCCCAGCAGGCCCACATTCCCCCACCGCCCTCCTCCCCGCCCCTGTCTACACTGGAGTGAGGGTTTAAATCGACACCCATAAATACAACATGAGCCAGAGAGACGGCCACCGCATGAATGGTACTAACTTAACAAAGAGTTTTTTAAATTACGTAGATAAGAGACATTAGTATATGGAACAGAATCAGTAATAGGAGCTGGTAATAGTCAAAGAGCAAAAACAGCTAATTTCAACCCATTTGTATGATTTTAGAAGAGGTATGAGTGTAATCTTGCTCAGAGATATATAATTCATTTGACTTATACAGAAGGTAAATGCAATTTGTAAGAGGTATCCTTGCTGAATTTGTAGTTGCATTACATACCTGAGCATAACAAGCTTCTTCTATGGCTAATCCTGTTACTAAATCAACCTGAGGATAAAAACATAATTAAATTTCAGCAGGAATTACTTTTTAAAATATGGAACACTCAATATAAATTCAAACTAGTAACACTTCTCCAAAAGCACAGAATCCTTTGATGTAATACAGCAAATCGGAAGTATGACCAGCATGAGAAGTCTGGAACCAGGCTGCCTGGGTTCAAATTCTGCCTCTACCACGGGGGAGCTGTGTAAGCTTGGCTAAGTTAGTTATGGTCTCTGTACCTCAGAGAGGCACATCCGAATGACAGACTAACTGTATTATCTACCAAATGGGGATAATCTAGGTGAAGCCTTTATAAGGCACCTATATATGGCCTGGCATGTACTATGGATCATATAAGGCATTTGCTGTTAGTATTGTTACAATTATGTTAGAGTTTTTAAAAACCATTTAACTACTTTGTAAATTTTTAAAACTGTGTTTGTTGCTAACAAATTCAACCTCTTTTTATTGCTATGAAGCTCATGAAGATATGGTGGCCTCTGAGTCTGCACGGAAGAAGTATCTCTCTTCAAAATTCCCTAATTTAACCAAAACATAACTGGGGTCATGAGAGCCCAGCGTACACAGGCACCCGCATTGCTCCCTTGCCCTGCCTACTTCTCTCCTGGCCTGGGGCTTCCACTCTTTAGAAGACGCCTCCTCAGGGGAACCCCAGGACACCCTGAAGGCTTGCCTTGTTAATATGGGCTCCCTGCACAAAGCACATTGAGCAGTTAAAGGTGGAGAGAGTTTGGCTCGGCTTTGAGCCGGAAGTTCTCCTCAGAACGTTCTTTAATAATGCAAAGCTGGTGTTGAGAATACACAGAATGACCTCTTCTTTTGGTTTTCTATGAACTACTAGCCAATAAATCTATTAGTTGGATGGCAAAAACAGTGAGCATGTCATAAGCTGCAGGACATCATTGAAATTCCTCAGTTCTGTGATTAAGATACTGAATCAACAACAGCCTAAGCAGAATGAAATCAATAATGTAGCTAAAAACAAACAAACAAACAACCCCCAGTAACTTGTGGTAATAGTAGCATTGAAACAGCTGGATTTTAGAACATTAAAAAATAAATTAAATTAAATCCCCACTACCTCCTCCAACAACAAACTCAAATATTAAGGCACTCACCTCCATCCCTTGATTAATTGCTAATTTTGCCACTCTCATTGCAACGGGTCCCTAAAATTCAATTAGAGAAATAGATTTTAATTACTATTTATGCGAATTATGTTGTACAGCTCAGTAAAATTCAGAAATCCCCATTGCTGGAACCATGGCAAAGAAGCAACAAAAGCTATAGGACAGTTAATGGGAAATTTCTTAAGGCCATTGCAAGGTCTACACAGCGCTTGGTACAACTCTACTACACTGGCCACTCTGTGTGCTTGCAGGTCAGCAGGGGCTGTGTGCCCAGGAGATGGTTCACCATTATCCAGCACAACCCGCCCCCCCCCCCCCCCCCCGGAGTGAAGCAGAGAAAAGGAGATGCTGTGCTTGGTGCAATACCACACCCATGAGCGGCCGGGCAGGAGCCCGGGCTGGCGATGAGGCGACACTGGCTCTGCACCTGTCCTCCGTGGGCTTCCAGAACGAAGAACAGTGAGGATGTACGGGCAAAGACGTGTCCTCCAGCCAGTGCTCCCACACCACACAAAAGCTTACAGCCAGAGAAGTCCTTTAGGATGTGTGAGGGTCACAGAGGAAAGAACTGGGTGTCCTCTGGGAGGTGAACATGACTTTTGTCGTCTTTGAAAACCACAATGCTCCAGACAGAATTTAGCTGTTTGATCACGTTTGAGATTCCTAAAAACTGTTTATGGGTCATGAGTTAGAATTCAATGGTATCTTTTCAAGTGTCTTTTGGATTAAAATGCAAAATAGGCTCTAGGGCTCCAATAAATGAATGAATAAATGTGGGATGGCATGAAAAATGCCATTTTTCCCATACAGGGGCTTCAATTATCAACTTTAACCCATCTAAATTCTCTTCCTAATTCAGATACTTATTAAAATCTTTTTCAGAGGCCACAGGTTTTCGAGGCTCAGACAAGTATCTTTGTTAGAATTCTTGAAACATGACCTGCAGGTGTGGAGCGTATACTAGAACCATGTTTTCAAGATCATCTTTTTTGTTTGTTTTTTAAAGAGTGCTCCTCTCAGTGAGAGTCTTCTCTATTCCCCTGTATCCACCAACTGACCCAGACAAGGTGCCTGTCCAACTTATATGTGTGCACAAATCCCTAGCCCCTTAGGAAAATGTAGCAGGTCTCAGACCTACTCCTGTGGGATGCCTGGGCTGCACTGGGCAGCAAAGCTTACAAAACTGGTAAAATAGGAAAATGGAAATGCTAGTAGCTGCAATCATTATTTAGCTGGCCTCTTTCAAAATATAAAACAACACCTCTTCTTCTGGACCAACATTTTTTTCTTGAACAAGAAAATGGAAGTAACATCCAATATAGAAATCAGATGGAAATGCTAATTTTATAGAAGCTTTCTAATATCTGGAAGAGTAATCATTCAGTGACAGAAACTAGAAATAAAGATGATCGCCCCTCAAAGTTTGTGCTGAAACTCCGGCATATTGTACAGTCTCACATCTTTTGAACCATTCAGGATCTCCCTTGCCTTGGGGAAAAAGTTTAGGGGTTAATGTTCTCAGAGGCAGGTCCTCCAGACAAAAGGGAAGAGCAGTAGGGACACCCCTGGCTTGTGCTGTGGTGGAGTGCCGCCGGCTGCCAGGCGGCAGGTGGGGAGGCGTGGGCACTGAGGGCCACAGGAGAAAGAGCGACGAGGCACAGATGTGCCCAGGGACGCAGCTTGCAGCACAGAGCTGAGCACTCCAGTCCAAAGACCAGGAGAGGCTGTAGTTCTCAGAACTGGAAGGGTACCATGACTTTTCCTAAACACACCTCTTACTTCAATGCAGACCTGCACTGGTCTTAGGGTTGTAAGCCAAAGGAAGTCATGAAGTCAATATTTCGTTAAACTGCTGCTTCTCCCGATACCTGTACCTTTAACTTCTCTTTAGACACACATTACTCTAATATTTTGGGGAAATATTAATACCAAAGTTTCAGCGAAAGCCTCTTTGTTTTTCCTAAAACACTAAACATCTTTTCTATTTGCTCTCTCCATCAATTCAGAGCGTAGGCTCTGTGTTACTTACGTGGGGAACAAATTATGTAAGAGCCATGTCCTAAAAGGGCATAGAGCTAGCTAAGTGGGCAGGACTGAAGTATCAACACCAGGCAGTGTGGTTCCAGGAACTGACTCCATGGTGAGGCCCGCCGGTCAGCAATCAGGGTACAGGTGAGTCCCAACGGACCTGGGCCCTTGTCTGGCCACTGGGAACTCTAACAACACCTTCTGAAACTGGATGCAAAGCTCTGAACAAATGTGGAGAACATGCATTTTTCTACAGAGAAGTTTCATGAGATTCCCAGAAGGATCCGTAGCCCCGAAACAGGTTACGAGTCCTGTTAGCATCAACCAGCGGAGTTCGAGAGGAAGTAACTCTGATTCCAGTACTGTTGAGGGAGTTGTAAAACCTGAAACTGCACTAGGGAGAAAGACAAATCACTAATTACTTGCATAGCAGCAGTCCTCTAATATGTGATTTCAGAGGAAAGGAATATCTGGAAAATACATGGAAAAGAGAGAACCAAGAAACCCCTGGAACAGGCCCCATGATGCACCATTGCTAACATTACTCATAAGAACTGTCACTTGTGAGTAAATGCAGTGTATTCCAGACTTAAAGTTTCAATGTGGGGAAGAATACTGTGCACAAAGGAGTTAAAACAGTGCCTATATTACCATAAAAACGAACACAAGGAGGGATGCCTGGGTGGCTCAGTCGGAGGTCATGATCTCAGGGTCCTGGGATCGAGTCCCGCATTGGGCTCCCTGGGAGCCTGCTTCTCCCTTTCTCTCTCTCTCCCTCCTCCTCTAACGAACACAAGGAGACACATGACTGCTGTGTAGGCAGGTCATCTCAAACCCAGCTGGGGCAAGGAGAGCCCATGCTGGTGTAATCGGCTCTGGTCTCCCAGCACGCACGTTTTAGTGGATTCCAGCTTGGGGGTGACTCAGTGTGACAGCGCATCCATGGCTGTTTCTCTCCACGTGCACAGCTCAGGTCAGAAGGGTCGGATGGCTGATGATGTAAGTTCCTAGGAAGCTCTGTCACACGTGCCAATGTGTGCGTCATGTATTATCAAGCCCAGGTACAGTGTGAGCCTCAGATCATCCTCTAATCTTCAATTTTAATTCTGAAGGCCCTTCATGTTAATCTAGTTTATTGTTTCTGGTTTTAGGGCTACTATCTACTTTTCTGCTTGGAAAACAAGACAAGCACATCATAGGCATGTGAGATGACTGTTTTGTCAATTTGCTATAAAGTTATTTAAACAGGAAAAAAAAAAAGGAAATGTAATTAGCAATACCTGAGGTAAAAACTCTCTTGCTAGGTCCAAGGCCTTGTGGTAGGCAGCATCCCCCTCCTGGTTCTGCTCTAGAACATGGCTGATCAAGCCCACGGCTTTGGCTTCTTGGCCATCGAGCACGCGTGCAGAGAAGATGAGCTCTTTGGCCAGGGACATCCCGATAGCGCGTGGCAGGCGCTGCGTCCCCCCTGCAGAGAGAGAGAATGGGGGGAATGCAGGCAATGATTTCATACCTTTCAGTCTTTAACATTTCAACGTTTCACTTCTCGGTTTACAAAATAAACCAGGGCCAGAAGTTTATATGTCAGGATTAGTAACTGGAGAACTACTTCAAAGCAGAATCTAATTAGTTTATCAAATTAATACTACCCAAAAAAGAACGTGAGTATCCTTCTGCAACTGTGAAGGGATTCTGGCACTATTTACTCCTTGCAACACAGCTGGTATGTTCCCGAATCGAAACCACAATCATTACCACGTCAGGGGCCATACAATGCACAGTGGTGGTGAAGCAGCAGCATCCCTTAGTCCATTCACCAGAGGGATGACAGGTGCTTCAGTTCAGATAAAACTTGTCAGAGACTGAGACATTCAACTCACCATGTGCTTTGTAAAGAATCACTGATGGTAAATGAACTGCAGGCTAATTTTAATTTAATAAAAAGGAAACCAGGTAATTACTGGTGAAAACAGGCTCTGTCCTGGTGGTGCTGGTGCTTTCAGCAGGAGCACAGATCACTCCCCCCCATTACGTTCTAGCGACGAGGCCAGGATCTCGTTAAAAAGAAAGCTAGACAAAAGCAGGTAATATTCTTATTTGGAAGCCTCAATTTCTACCAATAAGACTATGGGAGTGACTGCAACGTGAGGATTCATCTAAATCTCACCCTCAGGAAGGCTGCTGGGCTGCCAAGGGCATTGGTTGCCAGGAGTCAGGGAACAGCGGACTGGTGGGCTGCAGAGAGCTCACCTGAACAAGCTCACTGGGTTCTGTTCCGCCCCACAAAGTCTAGATTTTTTTTTCTCTATATGAGTTACCAACATTTAAAAAGTGGGTAGATGATTTCTGACAAAAACTAATTTCCACCTGGAAGCCCCCTGCAGATGCAAGGGCTCTAGCTGGCTGTGCCCACCCCGCCTCCCGCCACTCCTGCAGGGCTTGAGATGGACAAGCTCTGCTTTCTGTTAAAAACAACTTGAAAAGGAAAGCAAAATCTTTTCTTTTTCACATCTCAATCAAAAGTGGCAAAGTGAAAAATAAAGATCACAAGTTCCAGAAAGCATATTTCCCTTCAGTAATGAAGTATATTCCTACATTTTTAACACACAAAGCATGCCTGTATTGGAAGAACATGGCTTAAGATGCTATTATTATGCAACTACATCAAGAACCATGAGCAGTTATTTAGGAAATGTGGGTGGTTTAGAAAAACAAACACATACAAACCTCAATGAATTGGAAAGGACTGCTATTTTCGATAGGGACTGGGTTTGAACATAAATGAGTACTGCTTCTGTAAAATAGAGTTTATTGAGTGTGTACAGTGCCCAAGCAGTGAGAGATGGTGAATTTATAACTTGATATGGCAGAAAATGTGTGTCTGAAAAAAAAATGAAGCACTGACAAATTTAAATCGAACTATAAACAGTGATGTTGCTCAGTGTAGTAAAGACAGGTCTGAGAACTTATGGGACAAGATGCAAGGAAAAGACGAGTTATTTATGGTGTTCCCATTGCCAGCTGATTAGAACAGAAATATAAATACAACCCAGACAGCTCTACTTCCTCATGGAGCTGATGAGAATTTTCATGAGATGGAAGAAGTTATGGAGATAGTATTCATGATGAGCACAACATTAGGAAATGATTCTCTTTTGTGTTCTGTGAAAAGTCTGATGTAGACTGGTCAAAATTAGCAAATGTGACCCTCAATGATCCTTGTTAATGTCACACTTTTTATTCAACTGAAACCATGGAGCATTGCAAAGGCTGTAAAGCTTATGCCCATTCATCTTATCAGTTCATCCACAGTATCATCCTCCAGGAATGAGGATTTTGTAGACATTAAAGAAAGGAACAGCAATGAAACAAAGACCATGAAACACATCCACTCCCTGAACTGAACAGCATATAAGTCAAGCTCTGCTTGGTGAAATGGATGCATACCAGAACAGTCTGCTGGAGGACATGACCTGAGTGAGGGCCGAAAGGCATGCTGCTGAAGAGAGTGTTCTGTTTTTGTTGGAAACAACGCACCAGAGGATCTAGGAAAATCCTCACCTTGGCTCACCAGCTAACACTGAAGGCTTGGCCTGTGGGTTGACATCACAAGCCATCCACCTTAGGAACCTCACGTAAGTGGGCCATACAGTACTCGTCCTTTTGTGTCTGGCTTATTACATGAAGCATCTCGTCCTCCAGCTTCGTTCTATTGAAGGGCGTCAACATTTCCTTTCTTTGTAAGGCTGAAAAATATTCCACTGCATGAAGACCAAGTTTCGTTTATTCACTGACCCAGGGATGGTCACTTGGGTTGCTTCAACCTTTTGACTATTAGGAATAATGCTGCCATGCATATGTGTGTACACTATCTCTTTGAGACCCTACTTTCTGTTCTTTTGGGTAGATACCTAGAGGCGGAGTTGTTAGGTCATACAGAAAATCTATTATTTTTTGAGGAATAGCCATACTTTTTCCTACAAGCTGCACAATTTTACATTCTTATCAACAGGGCACAAGGATTCCAATTTCTCCACATTCTCAAGAACATGCGCTCTTCTCGGGGTGTTTTATTTTTGGGGGGGAGAAGGTTTGATGGCAACCATCCTAATGGGTGTGAAGCAGTATCTCCCTGTGGTTTTTGATTTCCCTAACAACCAGTCATGCTGAATTCTTTTCATTTGCTTATTGGCCATTTGTGTATCTTCTTTGGAGAAACATCTATTTAAGTCATTTGCCCATTTTTTTAATTGGGTTGCTTTTTGGCATTGAGTTGTAGGGATACTGTATATATTCTAGATAGTAATCACTTATCAGATATATGACTGGCAAATATTTCCTCCCATTCTGTGGATTGCCTTTTCACTCTGTTGACTGTCCTTTAAAGCATGGAAGTTTTTCATTTTGATGAAATCCATTTTTTTTCTTATGTTGCCTGTGTTTTTGGTGTCATATCCAAGAAATCATTGCCAAACCCAATGTCATAAAGTTTTTCCACTGTTTTCTTCTAAGTTTTTGTAGTTTCAACTCTTACATTAAGGTCTTTGATCCATTTCGAGCTAATTTTTATATATGGTGTAAGGTAGGGTCCAACTTCATTCTTCTGCATGTGGAAATCAGTTTTCCCAATACCACTGATTGAAAGGGGCACTCTTAAACAGTCACACAAATATATTATTTAACTCACTCATTCCTACTGAAATCTTATCTTTACAAAACCTGTTTGGTGAGAAATTATCTGGCCCATTTTCCCCTGCTACAATCAGTTTGCAGAAATCAAAGACTGATGGTAGAACTAGAGGTAACTGCCTCCCTACTCCCCCAGCACATAAACTTGGTCATTTCCAACTTTATGAAAAGGATGTGCCCTGTTCGGTTTGCCTTGCTCAGTTAACATTGATAGAAAGTACAAATGGAAGTTACTAAACCACGGGGCATTATGATACAAAAACTACACATGATCGATGAGCAATCTCAGATTTCCACCAGTATCTCACAGTCACCCTGGATAGAAAATATTTTTATGTCAACATTCTATTCCAGTTTGGAAGTGCTTCCGTTTGTGAACAGCTATTTTCTATTATAAAATTAAACAAAACACGAGTGCCCGTTAGGAGAATCAAGGCTCAGCACAGTAGCACACCCCACAACCAGAGAGAGAAGATGCGCAGTGGAGACCTGCCATGAGGGAAAAAAACATCCAATTTTCAGTTCCAAATGCAAAGAGAAGTACTCGAGAGAATTTATTTCAATTCACCTTTCATTAATTGCTGAATACTAAATTCCAATACCAGTTTAGCGTTAGGTCAAAACAAAGACACCCTTGGGGTGCCTGGGTGGCTCAGTTGGTTAAGCGACTGCCTTCGGCTCAGGTCATGATCCTGGAGTCCCAGGATCAAGTCCCGCATCGGGCTCCCTGCTCAGCAGGGAGTCTGCTTCTCCCTCTGACCCTCCCTCCTCTCATGTGCTCTCTCTCTCTCTCTCATTCTCTCTCTCAAATAAATAAATAAAATCTTAAAAAAAACAAAAAAAAACAAAGACGCCCTGTCGCATCTGTCAGCTGCTTTTCCTACACCAGGCTCATCTACTAGATCACACAACCGGCTTACTTTCCATAGGATTTGAGTTTAGGATCATAAAATGCCACCTCTAGATAGTCTCGGGGACTGACAAAATGAAACATGGGACTAACATGAGGTTGTCCCCAGTGGAACTAGAACTGTTCCACCCTGGCGGCAGCCCTGATGCATTCAAGATCACGGCGCTCTACAAGACTACTCAGAACTTCCAGTACTGTCAGTCCCACCACGGAGCCCTGACTCCTGGTCACACCCGACTCTGAGGCTCAGAGAACTTTCATCATTGAAAGTTAGGTTGCAGAAATAGGATTCAAACTTACTTCTGCCTGATTCTTATCTACTATGTGGTAAGAAAGTACAAAGAGCAACTTATGAAATGAACTGATGGCTTATTTTAGAAAATAAAAGGTGCATGTGTCTGCTATGTATCATTATGTAATAATGTACATAGGCGTATACACGTATCAAACGTGTCCAGAAAGTTGTCTCTGTGAGTCAGGCAACAGCTTTTTTTTTTTCATTTTTTCATTCACACAGCCTTGCTGTATTTCCCGAATGTTCTGCAACATATAGGTAACAGGACTCTGTAATAGTGTAATTTCCAAGATGACAACACATTTGTTCAACTCATTCAGTGAGTACTTACTGCAGCTTCCTGCCCGAGGCGCATAGATACAGTTGTGAAATTAACAGCCCCTGCCTCCTGGATCTTACACTCTCACTGGGAAGCCCACGACGAGCAAGCAAACCCATCCGGTCAGACAGTACAAC